CCAAGATAACCTTTATTGTCATTTTCATACTGTGGGCACAATGGCACACATCAAAAATGAAATTTAGTTGCCCGCTCTCAAAGTGAAACACATACATGACACACACTTAATACATACTATGAACAACATATGTATAGACCCACATCCCTACATATACATAGCAAATAAATATTAAATATAACTTTATTATAAATGCTGCCTTTGCAATGAAAGAAGGGGGCGACCACCTACATCAAGGTGGTGAATAAATTAAATTTAAAAAAAAGACTTCCCCCCCAAAAAAACCACTTTTATTTGAAGCTAATGTATAGATATAAAATGACATATAACGTGGAGTACAGCGAGGAGTAATTTAAAAAATAAGATGCAGAATCTGATCAACTTTGGTTATCTAATTCATCTACTGCTTCAGTTTTTAACAGTAAACGTTATTTTGACTCACAAAAATATAAACATTCACAAATAAGTTAAAGAGACACCCCCCCCGCCTCCATCCTCATTTTACGTCGAAGGACGCAGGTTAAAAGTACTTATGACGATCAGGCCACAGATGCATCAGGACTGACATCTGGCCTCGTTGGCACGCTCACAGCAGATCCTGGTGCCACCAGGCCAGTCTGTCATCTCCCCACAAGGGTTGTCCACGTGCCCCACTTGTGAAAAGCCACACCAGGACGAAATCTTTTAAAAGCTGGCATCCCAGCAAGCCCCCCAAACAGGCTTCCCCCTACTCCTTTTGGGGGGAGCAGCCAGTTGTCCAGTGATGCTGCAGCCATCCCCAAGGGCGAACCCTGCCTGAACTTGGCCACTTTTTAAGACTTGTGGACTTCAACTCCCAGCATTCCCCGCGCAGCCCCTGCCTGAAAGGCTGGATCCTGTCCAATAAAGCAATCAATACATTCATATAAAATTGGTTCCCCCTTTTTTTTTTTTTTTAAATGGGCGAGCGTGGCGTGCAACCCCTGCTTTGGATCTTCCCGGGAGCCCATCTCAAGAGGACTACAAAGCCCATCTAAGCCATGGGCTCATAACCCGGAAGCCTTTCTTTCTCTTTCCACTCCCCCCCCTCCCATTGCACAATCACTTCTTCTACGCCCCGGCGCGGCCTACTCATCCTCCACCCCCATAGCTGCCCCCCCGCCGCCCCTCCGTTCCTCGTATGGGGCGGCCCGGCTCGAGCAGCCTTTCCCCCGCCGTCCCCATTTGAAACCCGGCCCCCAGAGCCCCTTCTCGGAACCGATGGAACCGGATTCGAACCGATCCCCCCCCGGCGCCTCCTCACCATCACGGCAACGGGGCAGTCGCTACTACCAACGAGAAAGGAAAGGACGGAAGCCGGGAAGGAACAGGAAGCGCGCGGGTGGGATCAAACCATGAAAGCAAAGCTGAGGGGGGGGGAACAGACGTCAAGGTTTTGCCTTCTTCTCTCCCCCCTCCTCCAGTTGGATGGTTTCGTCCTTGGGAAATACTCAAGTTGTCAATCCGCGTTTGCAAACGGTTCATCAATTCGGGGATCAAATTATGGAGCGGTTGTAATTATCAGCCAATGATAGGGAGGGATAGGGGAGATTCTTAATAATGGGGAGATAATGGGGCGACAATAACGCGTGGCTTTTCTTGATGATGGTTTATTTGCAAAGCATGCCAGTTTTGCACAAGTCAAATTAGTGTGCAAAGATCAAACGGGGGACGCGCGTTAACGGACCCCTGACAAAAAGCCCGCAGCCTGGCTCTGCGATTGGTCCCAGCGTTGGTTGGTCCAAGATAGACTGTCCCTGAAGTTGGAGGTTCTACATCAGGCTTCGGCTCCTGGTGGTTTGGACCGTAGCAAACCCCACAAGGTTTTTCTCTATAGGCGTGTGTGTTTGTGTGGACGTGTATATTCGGTGCGTTTGTTAAGGGTTTAAAGGAAAGCGATTTTCGTAGTCCTGCTTGCTTGTTATTCGAGCCTATTATACTGCATTATTTGCTAGATGCGGATGTTACCCGTTTGCCCGGCAAACGTCTGGTTTTGTAGATTGCTTGTTTGTGTGTGTGTGTGTGTGTGTTTGTGCATTGTAAATTCAGAGGAGGATTGAGTTTGCTTTTAATATAAATAACGTTTGTAGATTAGGTTTGTGCATCTTTGTATACATATACATGTACACATACATACATGTATACACATACACATACAATGCATATATATATATATGTATGTATTTATAGAATTTTAGTTTGCTGAGTGAGGTGGGCATTTGTATTTTTATGGCTATACGTATGTGTGTGTGTGGTATATATATTTATATATGTATACACATACATAAATGTATACACACATACACACATATATATATAAACACACATAGATTCAAAATTCAAATTGAAATTTATTTGATTTATATACCGCCCTTCTCCCTTGCGGGACTCAGGGTGGTGAACAGGCACATTAATAAAACAGCAATACCATAATATTTAAAAATATTCAAAACTAATTAAATTATTTGTCCTGTCCTAAAACCCACTATAATAATATAAAATTATACCCAATTTAAAATTTTAGAATTTCAGATTTATGCCAGATATATATATACACACTATATATACACACACGCATACCCACATACACACACATTGTTTGAGCAGGGGGTTGGACTAGAAGACCTCAAAGGTCCCTTCCAGCTCTGATTGATTTATATGCATGCATACACACACACACACACACACACAAGGGACCGAACCTATTTGCACTCGGCAGAATGTGTCTTTCCTAAAGTGTGAGGTGGGCATTTGTGTGGTTGTGGTTATGCACATCTATGTATATGTGTCTATGCGTGTTTTCACATATGCACGCCCGCCACAAGGCTTTGGTGTCGTCAGAACGGAGCTCGACACGAGGGTGTGAGCGCGCGCCGTGTGTCCCCCGCCCTCAAAGCCCGCCGTGCGCTCCGCAGGTAAAGTGTCTGCCCCGCCCTGGCCGGCAGGGGTCGCTCGCCCTCCTCCCCCTTCCAACTCCCTCCTTCCCTCCCGTCGGCCGCCCGGGACTTGCTGAGGGCGAGAGCCAGGAGCCGCGCGAGAGGCAGCCGGCTCGGCCAATCGGTGTCCGGCGCGGGGGGCGCGCGGCCAATCGGGGAGCCGGCGGGGCGAGGAGGCGGGGCGGGCGAGGCCGTGCCCAGGTTAGGCTGAGGGGGAGGCGCCGCTCCATCCTTCCCTCACCTGGCGCCAGCGGTGAGTCCCCCCAGCTCCGGCCGCCGCCGCCCCCGCCGCCGCCTGGCTGGGCAGCGCCAACGCCGAGAGGGTCGGCCCGCCGCGCTTGCCCCCAACCGGCCCGGCCTCTCGGGAAGGGCCAGCCAAAGGTGGGGAGGGTCGCGGAGAAAAGCGGGGGAGGGGGGCACG